CATGTATAGGGGTGGAAATAGCAATTAGGGCAGTGATGTGCTCCTCCTACCGGATTTGGGAGATCAGGAAGCAGTCTGGTGTCCCTGACGGCTTTGTCTGCAGGAAGTGGGACTGGCTGCAGCTCCTTATAGACCATGTTATTCCGTGGAGTGGCAATTCGACACACTGAGGAGCATATGGGGGTAGAGATTATGATAGCTGCTAGTTACAGGGAGGTGGTCACTCTGCTGGTTCAGTCAGGTAGATGTGTGACCGCCAGGACAGGCAGGCAGGTAACGCAGGAGTCTCCTGTGGCAATTCCCCTCTCTAACAGGTATACCATTTTGGACACTACTGGTGGGAGGATAGCGTCTCAGGGGAGTATAACAGCAGCAGCCAGACGTGTGCACCACAAATAGCTCTGCTTAAGAGCAGGGTCAGGCAAGATCCAATTGAGCGACAGTGATAGGAGACTTGCTAGTTAGGGGCACAGACAGGTGATTCTGTGGCCAGGTTCAAGACTCCAAGATGGTGTGTAGCCACCCTGGTGCCAGGGTCAAGAATGTCTCTGAGTAGTCGCAAAAAATTGTTCAGAGGGATGGTGAGCAGCCAGACAGATTGTGGTGCACATTAGTACCAACAACATACGTATAAAGGTGGGACGGTGGCTCAGTGGTTAGCACTGCTGCCTCACAGCGCCAGGGGCCTGGGTTCAATTCCACCCTCGGGTAACTGTCTGTGTGGAGTTTGTACATTCTCCCTGTGTCTGTGTGGGTTTCCTCCAGGTGCTCCGGTTTCCTCCCACAGTCCAAAGACGTGCAGGCTAGGTGGATTAGCCATGTTAAATTGCCCGTAGTGTTCAGGGATATGTGGGTTATAGGGGATGGGTCTGGGTGGGATGCTCTGAGGTTCGGTGTGGACTTTTTAGGCTGAAGGGCCTGTTTCCACACTGTATGGATTCTATGACAAAGAGGGATGAGATCCTGTTGGGTGAGAACAGGGAGTTAGGAAAGAGGCTGAAAAGCAGGACCTTGAAATTAGTAATCTCTGGGTTACTACCAGTGCCACATGCTACTGAGGCAAGGAATAGAAAAATAGGATCGATGAATGTGTGGCTAAGGAGCAGGTGCAGGGGCAGGGTTTCTTTGATCATTGGGACTCTTCTGCGGCAGGGGTGACCTGTACAAGAGCGATGGGTTGCACCTAAACTGGAGGGGAACCAATGTCCTTGTAGGGATGTTTGCTAGTGCTACTTGGGAGGGTTTAAACTACAGTGGTAGGGGCTGGGAACCAGAGCAGCAGGTCAGCAAATGGAGGGATTGAGGGTAAGATGCATGTTAGGACCAGTAAATCAGAAAGAAACATCAGGCAGATACAGGTAAATGAACATGATGGCACTACGGCTGAAATGTGTTTATTTCAATGCAAAGAGTACTAAAGGTGAGGCAGATGAACTTACAGCCTGGATCACTACATGGGACAATGATGCTGTGGCCGTTACAGAGACTTTTCAGAGAGGGGCAAGACTGGCTGCTCAATGTTCCAAGGTTTCGTTGTGTTAGATGTGATACAGAGGAAGGTAAAAGAGGTGGAGGACTTGCATTACTAATCAGGGAGAATGTTACATCTGCATTTAGAGAGGACATACTGGAGGGCTCATTCACTGAGGCAATATGGGTAAAGCTCAAAAATAAGATGGTGCAATCACTCTGATAGGATTATACTATAGACAACCACCTCGCCCCCGCCACCCCAACGGCCACTGAGGCATTGAGGAACAAGTATTTAGGCAGATTGTGGAAAGATGCAATGAAGACAGAGTTGTCATAGTGGGTGATTTTAACTTGCCCAATATTGACTGGCACTCCCTTAGAGCAAGAAGCTCAGATGGGGCAGAATTGATAAGTGCATCCAAGAGGGTTTCTTGAAACATTTTGTGTCTAGTCCAACTAGCGGACGGGCCATACTGGACCTTGTACTGACTAATGAGCCTGGCCAGGTTACTGACATTTGAGTGGAACAGCATTTTGGAAACAGTGATCATAACTCCTTAAGTTCTAAGATAGCCATGAATAAGCAAAGTCAGGACCTGGCGGCAAGGTACTAAATTGTGGGACAGCAAATTACATCAGTATTAGGCAAGAGCTAAGGAGTGTTAATTGGGAGGAGCTGTTATCAGGCAAGTTCACATTTGACATGTGGGAATTGTTTAAAAATGTGCTCATGACAGTTCTGGACTGACATATTCCAGTAAGGAGGAAGGACAAGGATGGCAAGGTAAGGGACCCTTGGATAATGAGGGAGATTATGAATTTAGTCAGAGGGAAAAAAGAAGCATATGTAAGGTTTAGGAAGCTAAAATTTGACAGGGCCCATGAGAAATATAAAGAAAGCAGGCAAGTACTTAAGCAGGGAATTAGAGAGCAAGAAGTAGCCATGAAATGAACTTGGCAAGTAGGATTAAAGAGAATCTGAAGGCATTCTATTCATATATTTAAAACAAGAGCATCTAGAAGATTAAGATGCATTGGATCCATGGTGACTTTGTCCATAGAAGTGAGAGGGTATTGGTGGAAAGGTGCTTTTCAGGCGGGAGGTCCGTGACTACTGGTGTTCCACAGGTATCCAGATTGGGCCCTCTGCTGTTTGTGATATATATATGGGATAGGGACTTGGATGAAAATGGACATGGATGGGTTAGTAAGTTTGCAGAGATATAAAGTTCGGTGGAATTGTGGGTAGTGTGGATACATTTGACAGTCTTGTCTCGGATCATAAATAATACACATGCTGATATCAGACAAAGTGTAACAAAACGTTTTTTTAATCAATGACATCATCAGTGAGGGAGCTCAGCCCTGGTTATTTTTCAATCGATTTAGTAGATAGGTCCAGTTTTCATTACAGTGCTCTCAAGCACCAAGATAAGACTGGTGCCTGCAGTGATTGTAATGAGGTCAACCAGGTGGACCTCATAGAATATGAGTTCCCTGATTGAGGCTCTTAATCTGGTCCAATCAGGGAGTCCGGCCTGACAGATAAGAACAGGAGTGTCAGACATCTTGCTCAATCTGAGAACTTGTTCTGAGGGAGATGGATGAGTGTCAAGGACTCTCCACGTGTAAATAAAGGTGACTTGGTGACAGGGTACTGGACTCTTGTAGTTATTTCAGTGTCCAAATGCCATTTCCAAACCTTGATTAAAACAAAGAGACTCACACCTCTCTCCAGATAGAGCACAATCAAGGTTTGATTAAAAAATGTTGCAGCACACCATGAAGCAGCATGTTGATCAGAAATCAATTTAAATCTTGGTACTGCTGCTGACTCATATCCGCAGAAAAACAGGAGAATAGGAAGAGCAAATCCAACCATCATAGTGAAGGGAGGAAAGGAAAGACATTGATTGAAGGAAAATAAGAACACAATTACAACATTTAACAAGCATTTTGTGGCATTAAAGTCTGGACGGATGAGAATTCTGACCACCATAAGGATTCAAATCCAACTGTGACACTGACAATGAGCTAATTTTGGAATTGCGATCTTTGAAATAATTTTGGCAAGTTTTTAACCTGTCACACTGCCTGAAAGCACCAGAGAACTGTTGCAGCAGTCTACCATGGCTCTATGCTTTGCTCCTGTACCGAGGAACTGTACTGAGGCATTATACTGAGACGTTGTACTGCGATACTGTGCTGAGGAACTGTACTGAGATTCTCTACTGAGACACTATCCAGTGAATCTGTACTGAGGAACTGTATTGAGATACGGTCCGAAGGAATTGTCTATGTCAGTACACATGGCATTGTACTGTGGCAGCGTTCTGTGAAAACTGGCTTTATAACAGGAGGGGAGATGGTGGTGTTCTGGCAATGTGAATGAAATTTGTAATCAAGAGCCCCAGACTAATGCTCTAGGGATATAGCTTTGAATACTACCAGGGTTGACAGTGAGATTGGAATTCAATAAAAACCTGGAATTGAAAATCTAGCCTAATGCTGGCTGTATAACTACAATCAAATGTGTAAAAACCCATCTGGTTCACTATTGTCCTTTAGGGACGGAAATCCACCAACCTTATTTGGCAACAATGTGTTGACTCTTAACTGCCCTGTGAGCAATTAGGGATTGATAATCAATGCTGACCTAGGAAGTGATCTCATGATCAAATAAAAACGAAACATGAGGAAACATTTTATGAATATTTCTTTAGAAAGTCACTTTGCTTAAAGCTGAGATTGAGTACACTGGCTTCTCTCTGCACTGTCAGTCCCAAGCTCTGCATATTCAGTTGCTGCAGTCCCAATGACTGTCAAGCAAGGGATGTGGAGGTGACAGAAGTGGTAGTTGAGCAGAAAGCTGGTAAAATAGTTAAGCCACACAGCTGGCATATCTCAAGTGAGAGAATGTCACAAATCATGAACTCCTACCTGTTTGAAACCTGTTTGTTTGAAACCTTGTTTCTAATGCTGCTTGTTTTATAACCTGTTTATACCCTCTTTCTATTCCTGTTTATAGCCCATATTGTAACCCTATTTCCCCATTCTCACTGACCAGCAGATAGTTATAAAAAATTATGCCACGCAAAATTGAAGATAGAGTTACAACATATCATAGAATATAAATACCATAGTGCATTTACTGAAACAGATTATCAAAGGAAATTCACACACACAGATGGTAGTACGTCCAGTGCCTGTTGTATTTTGGTACAAATTGATCGTGTTGCTTGTACTAGTGATAAAATTGACAGGGACCATTTTATTAATTGTTTAATGAGAGAGACATATGAAGACAGATTATGAAAATAAGGATTCCTGGAAAACTATGTAGCACCAAGCAAACTAGCCACCAATAGTTGATTGAAATAGATTTTGAAAATGTGTTCCTACTGACATAGATGTTCAAATTTCAGACATAATATTTACATACCACACTACACAAGCAGCACACACAGGAATCTGTCATGGGTTCTAAGGGTTGTGCAATTCTCCTGGCATCAGACTACAGCACCTACCAATAGTATAATATCTTTTGAGTTCAGTCCGTCTAGTGTTACGTCTCTGTGTGTTGGCAGCATTTATCTTCTCCTCCTCTGAAGCGGTTGTTTTGAGGACAGGCAGGACTTTACCAGTTTGGAATGTTGAATCCTCAACTGCCATTGGATTGCTAAATCCTTGAGAGCTCATGTCGATTGGCTGGGACTTTTTCTTTAGTCTATAACACAACAAGGAGAGAGATGCTGTTCAGTAGAAACAACTAAGAGTGATCTATTTTATATAATTTTCTTAATTATCTGATTGGGATTACATTAGTAATGAGGAACAAACTTAATGATGTCATCATATTTGACTTCTGTCTTAGAATAGAGAAGAATCCCTACAAGTGTGGGGATAGGCTATCCGGCCCAACAAGCCCACACTGCCCTTCTGAGGAACATCCCACCCAGGCCCATCCCCCCACCCTTTCCCTGTATCCCTGCATTTCCCATGTCTAATCCACCTAATTTACACACTCCTGGACACTACGGGGAATTTAACATGGCCAATCCACTTAGTCTGCACATTTTTGGATTGTGCGAGGAAACCAGAGCACCCAGAAGAAACCCACACAGATGCAGACAGAATGTGCAAACTCCACACAGTCACCCGAGGGTGGAATTGAACCCAGGTCCCTGGTGCCGTGAGGTAGCAGTGATAACTACTGAGCCACCATGCCACTGCTTTGTGAACAAAATCTAAATTCACAATAATGTTTATCAACCAGCTACAGATTCTCTGGGTAAAAGTGGCCACAGAACATAGAACATAGAACAGTACAGCACAGTACAGGCACTTCAGCCCAAGATGTTGTGCCGAACTTTTACCCTAAACCTAAGGTCTATCTAACCTCCACCCATACCTCATACTATCATCCATATGCCTATCTAATTGCTGCTTAAATGCCCCTAACGAGGCCAACTCCACTACACTCTCCGGCAATGCATTCCACGCCCCTACCACTCTCTGAGTAAAGAACCTACCTCTGACGTCTCCCTGATATCTACCTCCACTCACTTTAAAACTATGCCCCCTCGTAATACCTACCTCCACCCGAGGAATAAGTCTCTGGCTGTCCACTGTATCTATACCTCTGATCATTTTGTACACCTCTATCAAGTCACCTCTCATCCTTCGACGTTCTAAAGAGAAAAGCCCTAGCTCTCTCAACCTTTCCTCATAAGACCTTCCCTCCATTCCAGGCATCATCTTGGTAAATCTCCTCTGCACCTTTTCCAACGCTTCCACATCTTTCCTGTAATGAGGCAACCAGAACTGGACACAATACTCCAGATGTGGCTGAACCAGGGTTTTGTATAGCTGGAGCATAACTTCACGGCTCTTGAACTCAAATCCCTCTATTAATGAAAGCTAACATACCATACGCCTTCTTAACAACTCTATCCACCTGGGTGGCAGCTTTCAGGGAACTGTGAACATGAACCCCAAGATCCCTCTGCTCCTCCACACTGCCAAGAATCTTTCCGTTAACCCTGTATTCTGCTTTCAAGTTTATCCTTCCAAAATGAATCACCTCACACTTTTCAGGGTTAAACTCCATCTGCCACTTCTCAGCTCAGCTCTGCATCCTATCAACGTCCCTTTGTAACCTAGAACAGCCTCCGCAATATCCACAACTCAATCCACCTTTGTATGTCCGCGAACTTACTAATCCACCCTTCCACTCCTACATCCAAATCATTTACAAAAATCACAAATAGAAGAGGACCCAGAACAGATTCTTGTGGTACACCACTCGTAACTGAGCACCATGTTGAATATTTTCCGTCCACTACCACCCTTTATCTTCTAAGGGTCTGCCAATTCTGAATCCAATCTGCCACTTTTCCCCCTATCCCATGCCTCCTTACTTTCTGCATGAGCATACCATGAGGAAGCTTATCAAATGCCTTATGCAAATCCATGTATACCACATCCACTGCTCTACCTTCATCCACGTGTTTGGTCACCTCTTCAAAGAATTCAATAAGGTTTGTGAGGCATGCTCTACCCCTCACAAATACATGCTGACCATAGTTAAATTGAATTAAGTTTGATTGATATATTCCAGTCTAAAACTAGAATCATAAACTGAAACAAAGCAAATTACATAGGTATGGCAAATTGAATAACTAGAATAAAAAGATATTACTCTAAGTGAACAGTCAGAAAATGATCAACCAAACTACAGTTTTGTAAAAAACAACAGTTAGTCTAACAGAGATAGTAGGAACTGCAGATGCTGGAGAATCTGAGATAACAAGGTGCAGAGCTGGATGAACACAGCAGGCCAAGCATCATCAGAGGAGCAGGAAGGCTGACGTTTCGGGCCTAGGCCCTTCTTCAGA